CACAAAGCAATAATGTCAAGCGCATGGCTTCCAACCAGTTTCGGGTTTCCTCCATTGCTTTGCTATTTGTGTGCTTTTACATATTCGATACTATTATAAACTTTCTTTTCATTTCTTTACCACTTCCTTTGTTTTTATGCTTAATTAAATATTCATCAAACAAAAGGAAGACGAATGAAAACTTTTAAATTCTCATCAACACCCCCGCCGCTAAGCGTTGTAAGCAGCCAGCCTACATACTTACTTCATCTTCAATATATCTACACCCCAGCCACACTCAGCCACCAGCAGCAGCAGCAGCAGCTCATTGTAACCTTTACGATTTTTCAACACCATAATCATTTGCCTAGGCTGGCAGCTCCTTTGTGTTTTTGTTTACTTAACCGTTACGGCTCACACATGCACATATGTATGAACAAGCATATGCATATCCTTAAACCCTTTTACACCATTTTCTAGTTGCTCATCTCCATGCGCATGTATGTATTTATAGGAAGTGGTGACTGTAAAGAAAATGTTTGGCATTTCTTATGCTTAGTTGAATCTGGCAAACTAAATACTTAAAAGCTTGCAAACATTTGTATGAATGTGTATATGTTATATGTCCATTTTAATCAATAAAAACAAATCACCGTTTACGTTTCGCATTTTCAATGCGTCTATCAGCTCACAAGCTTACCAGCTCACCGACTCAATCGCACACTCCCGTCCACATCCTTCACATGTTCCTCCACTCCTACCCGCCAACTGGCTCGTCGCCAACACGTTTCGTCAGCTACTTTTGAGACACTTGAGTATTCCCTTTTGGGACATTAAAATCCCATTTGAACGCATACATGCTCATTTACGGTGCCTGTGTGAGTGCCACGTGTGATTTCCTTCTGAACTCCTTTGCTATTGCCTACTTTTGGGGTGGCCTGTGCTTTTCTTATGCAGATATGCCGACATACTATGCGTGTGTCCTTTCTCGCTGTCTTGTTTACAAACTTCAATTTCAATTTAACATATGCAAAGTTTTCACTCACCATACAATTACAAAAACAATAACATGCTATTGTTACCGCCATACTCGTGGTTACAGTGTGTGCAATTAAATACGAGTATGAACCCTGTAGGGAAACCCCGAACTGGTGATCCAAATTTGTAGTTCCGTACTAGATCTTTATCGCCAAAAACGAACCAGTCCGATAGTACCTAGATCGCCACCAGTTCAAAAGCAGCGATATGTGGTACTTTTAAAAAATAATTTTAGAAATCTATATCTAAAATGACGAATTTAGAACTGGTTCAAATCTATAGAAAAAGGGATGCAGAACGAACTAGATCTCATCTGGCGAATTTTGAACTAGTTCGAAACTACTGAAAAAGGCATGCAGCGGGGGGCTTGTTTACTTTAAAAAAATTGATTTTTGCTTGGCGGGTTTTTCGTTCAAATACGCTTTCAGTCTGCACGTCGCAGATGCTTTTTCATAGTTTGGTAATACAAAACTAACATTTGTGTTAACATCTTAACATTTTGGGACCTTCTGGAATATAACCAATAACAGTCAGCAAATTCAGCTACAGCCAAAGGTATGTAAGTGTGTTTTCAAATGCACAATTTAATTTAAATTTATTCAAAAAGATTGATTTCTGATTGAAAATACATTTCTCTGCAAATAATTAAAAATTGCTACCATGGTAACCCAAAAAGAAAACATCTTGTTACTTTTTTCGTTTACAACTGGTTCGAAACTATAGAAAATGGGGTGCAAAGCGAACTAGATCCCATATGTCGAATTTAGGTCTGGTTCTGAACTATAGAAAAGGTAATGCAGCGGGGGACAATTTCCAATTCCTATGACATCGCTGTGTTAAATTCGCCAGTTGTTTGCAGTTGAGATTTATCGCGAACTAGTAGTGGTTCTAAATGTACTAGAAGCGCACCAGTTCAAAACTAGAGATTTTCCCCACAGGGAAGTTTTTATGTTATGTGTAAACAATGGTAATAAGTGGGAATAAAATTTAGATACATACTAAAAAATTTTCTTTGTATATTTTAATCGTAATTTTATATGTATCTCCATCATTTAAAATCGCAATATGATTTAAGAGTTTTGCAGGTTGAACATACAGTCATCATCCAAACAATTGGCACTATATGGGGCCTGTCAGGACTAAGAGTTAGGCTTAGCCACCTTAAGATGTTCCTTTCATCGCCTATGGTCGACCACCGGCTAAACGGATTTTGATACCAGTGATGGACAAAATTGTATTTACTAAATATGTACTAAGTACAAAAGTGTTTAGGTATACGAGCAAATCTCACGAGCTGTAAAATTTTTCGATAAAAACGTGTTTTTGGTCGAAAATGGAGGCACATTTATCTTAGAAAATGTACTTAAAAAAAAAATATATATCTATATATATTTCATGATCCAATGATCGGATCTATACCAGATTAGTATGGGACCACTTCTGAGACACTACCGATGCAAAAAGAATTATCGAAATCGGTTGACGTGGTCCAAAGTTATGCGGTAACATACATAAAAAATAAAAAAAAATAAAAATAATAAAAAAAAATATTCCGACGAACTGATAACCTCCTGCTTTTTTG